TTAAAGTCTCTCGCTCTTGCTGGCAGACCAGTGCTCGGAGATCTCCTCGTCCATCTCATACTTAGTTCTAACTCTAGTCATATAGTTTATATGATCATTAACTATTCTTTGCACGGCTATATTAGAACATGATGGCTCTATGTAGGAATATTCTTTTATTCTTTGTTTACCTTTTATCATTGAGGTTGGCCCAAATGTGTGTCCACTATCCTTAAAATATCGTTTTTACCCCTGTCATGAACTATGGTCCACTATGCAAGTATATCATCATGTTTATGTCTATGCAAGAATTTGTATACCTTGCCCTCCTTTGGAAAAATATAAATAACGATACCCTGAATACTTCCGGGTGAAATGCTACAACGATAGCTTTGTATGCTTATGGATATTGTTTGTAATCTTTAAGGACTATCGTAGTTGGTGTTTCTTAGCAGCATTGCTAAGATTAACTCAATCTTAGCAATGGTGTTAAGAAATACCAACATACATTTTTGACGCCGTTATCGGTGATGGACTTAAAACCTCCTCACTTGGTGATTGCGTTAAGAAATGCCAACATGCAGCCAGGGCATCATGGGCCACTGGATTGCATTTATAATATATCCTTAGGACGGAAGGGCCTATATATTTGACTCTTTGCGGGAAACAAGCAAAGCAGGGTACAAGCACTTTGAAAGCGTATTGAGATAGTAAGTGACATAATTTCTTCATTTACAGTTAACATACGTGTTGAAATTATCGTTGACACTACTAGTTTTTCGTACAACGCTTATAAGAAGTACGTGCAAGATCTCGAATCCTATGACCAAAGATCTGAGGAGAAAAAAAAATTCAAGAATGGCACGAAACTGAAACTCAGGCGTGAGTTCTAGGTAAGTGTATCAAAAGTCGTCTGTGCTATTATATCGAGCATGCTCTCTACTACTACTACTGTACCAATACTACTACTACTCCAAACTACTACTACTACTCTACACTAGTCTACTTTACTCTACTCCTATACCTACTACTACTCTTACTACTACTCTTATACTATATTGTCCTCCTCCTCCTACTGCTCTCTACATATGCTCTAATGATTGTGTATTATATATTGTGTAGTGCGCCAAACAACCTTATGGCTCAGTATTATGAGGATTCTATGTTTGCGAGTACTTGAGGACGTGTAGCAGATTCAGCAATAGCTGGCAGCAACTCAAGAAAGCACAAGGATGGTGGCAAAGGGAGAAGGTCGACCAAGACTTCAGACAAACAGTAGCAGACATATGTAAGTTTGTCACAAAGAGCGCGCATGAAAGGAATACGTTCTTCAACAAGGAAGGCGACTTAGCGCAGGATCCAAAGTTCGAGAGGATCAGAAACTGGAGCACCCAGTTATGAATCTCGGATTATATTTTATCGAACCCCTTTCCCAAGGAAGGTTGATATGTATGACTGTCCTTAGTTGCTCATGTATGAATGATGTGTGTTTGTGAAACAATGATGAAGACATCTCTAATGTAATAACTTAATGTTGGTTCATCAAACAAGAATGAATGTAATATATGTTTGTCATCTATTTTCTGCTTTATCTGTGTTTTCATTAGCGAAATTCTAATTCTAATTCTAATTCTAATTTGAAAACGCATTTTTTTAAATCTGGAAATCATTAACCGAGGCGGGCACTTAATAATAGCCGCCTCGGTTAATGTTTTAACCGAGATGGGCGCCTTTAGCCAACCGCCTCGGTTAAAATCTTAACCGAGACAGGCATGTTAAGACAACCGCCTCGATTAATATGTATTAACTGAGGCAATTAGGGCGACTGCCTCGGTTAAGCCATGATTAACCGTGACCTTTTGGCCGAGGCAGTTGCAAAAACTGCCTCGGTTAATCCAAAATGCCTGCCACGATTAAAAATACTGTAGTAGTGATGGCCTTGAGTAGCAGAGAAAGGTAGTGGGCGGAAGGAAGTGGGGATAAGGTGCAGCGCGACAGCTGGATCCCTAGAGAAAAGGGTGAGATAAGGTTTTGACATAAGAGAATAACGGGTGGGCCACTATGGCCCTGTTTGTTTGCCTGGACTACAGCGAGGAATAGGTTCATAGGCTACAAGTTAGCTTGTTTGTTTCCTTGGACACTCTATGGACTAGGCCCACACACTGCTTAAAGTAGTGCAAAGCTAGGCTGCAGGGAAACGAAACTGGGCTTCATTTTTTTGGGTCTAGCTCACTACTTTGCGAAGCGCACGGTTCCGTCACCTCCTGTAAGTGCATGATTCGGTCACCTCCCGTTACATCACCGCGACATGCAGCGGTCATCACTGCCGCACTCCTCCTTGGTACCTCCTCACCCTCCCTGTCCCCAACCTCTCAGCGCTCACCACCGATGCCGCCCTTGCCGCACTCCTCCTCGGTATCTCCTCACCCTCCCCGTCCCTAGCCTCCCGGCGCTCGCCGCCCTCACCGCACTCCTCCTTAGTGACGTTGACTCCACCGTGGCGAGGTGCATGCTCGTGCATCCGAGGGCTGCTCTGACGCGGTGGGTGTCCACTTGAGAGATCTAACTTTGCATCTGTTGCTAGGATCAAGTGGTGTAGAAAGGTGCAAGTGAAAACCCTCTGAAAAATGTTTGTGAATGGCTAACTCGCATGCCCAAGTTGGGGAAACACTTGAGGAGTTAGCACATTAGAAAAGGGTTTGAAACGGAGCCTGGAGGCGTGTTTGTGTAGCCACCAGACTGTTCCTTTGTGTAGCATCGGGTTATATGCTATGTGTGGTTGCAACATGCAAAGAGAGAAGAATGCAGAGGGCTATTAAGCCCCTAGTGGTGGGGCCACCCTAGTGGCGGCGAGCTAGACAGAGTCTTCTAGAGAAGATGTGGGTCAACCTGTTACCAAGGGGGTGAGAAAAGAGCTGTTGGTGTCTAACATCTGACCATTGGCGCTCTGGTGGTGGGACCGCCATGGGCCGCATTGGGACTACCAGCCACGCCGCAATAGCTATTATCAAGGGGGTAATGATTATTTGGCCACTCCCCCTCTACAAATAGAGGGTGGCCGACCATGAGAGATTGTTGAGCACCGTGTGGACTTAGTGTCCATGCTTCAGTGTGCTTCGGAGCCCTCTAACTCACTTGTGCTTGTGGAGATGGCATTCAATTGTGAGTGAGTGATCGCTAGTGCGTTGCATTGAGAGATTGCAAGGTGTGGCACTAGGAGATCGAGTTGCAAGTCGGTGGTGCTTATTACTCTTAGAGGTTGTCACCTCCTAGATGGCCTGGTGCCTTTGTGGTCTCCGCGGAAACACGCTTGAAGATTGTGTGTGGCTCCGGAGAAGGCTTTGTGAGGGGTGCCACGCTCACCCCGTCGGAGACGTGAAGAGCAACACTAGTAGAGCGAGGTGTGAAGAGCACCAAGTGGTCTGGCCAGATCGAATGTTAGAGCTCTTGTGTTGAGGGGCTTGCGGGCCACCACTAGCAAGAGGATCGACGATAACCTTGGAATTGCCTCAGCGAGAATTAAGTGGTTGGCAAACCACCGAACCTCAGGATAAAAATTATCATGTCATCATTTTCCTGTTGGTTTGCAATTTTGTAACACAAGCTTCTTTACTTGTCCATACTTGTGCTTGTGTTGGTGCTCTTGTGTAGTTAGTTCGCTTGTGTAGTTAATTAGTTGCTCGTGTACTAGTTAGCTTGTATAGCTAGCTAGCCTTACTTAGCTTATGTAGCTTAGCTAGTTGAGTATATAGTGCTAGTATTGTTTAGGCTTTCTACGCTTTGCTCACTAGTATGTGTAGGAGCTCTCGGTGTGCTTGGTTGACTAGTTGCATAGGTTTGTGTGGCCTTGCCTACTATACTTGTGTAGGTGGGCTCTCTCTTTGGCTCGGCACCTTAGTTGCTCAATTAAAATCTTTACAAGGTGCTTGTGAACTTAGGTAGAGGGGTGTAATCGAGGCTAGAGCGATTAGTTTAATTCTGCATTTGTTTCGTTAGCCGACGCGATTAAAATTTAGAAACGACTATTCACCCTCTAGTTCGTCATCTCGACCCTACGCTACACACATGGGGGAAATACAATACGAAATGAAGTCAGCATCCCTTGAGAGGCGAGCCTGATTCGTTTTTAACAAAATCCTTCTTTCGTGCCTCCATTATAGCTACAAAATCTAGGTTATGATCTTTTATTGCATATGAGATATAACAGAATTTGCTAGAGACCTCTACTATTCCAGAAGATGGCTCTCATTATAATTTTTTTTAGCTTTGATATTGCCCCCATCTAGACTTGCGTCTTTTTTTCCGTTAAAGATGACCTTGACTTCCTAGCAGTTTTTTTTAAATAGCGAGGCTAAACTATTTAGCGGCCTCCTCCTCAAACAACTAATAGCGAGTTAAATCAGGCTATAGGGGCTAACAATGGCTAAATTGTAAGCAAATAGCTTCATTCTCTACAAACAACTATATTCGGAGATGGCAGCCGCCACAGTGGGAGATTTAAAACCTTGCTTACTAGCGGACGCTAGAGATCATAAATATTTGTGTCCAGATCCGCCTCATCAAAATCAAAGTTAGAAATATCCCCTACCAAGCGAGCGAGCAGGGCACCATCACTTTCGACGTCCTCCTCATCACTAAATACTAGATTAGACCTGTCCGTTGATTTGTTTGAAATAGTTGTCACTTGTGTTCTATCAATTTCTTTCAAGGCATTGCTTGCTAAATTAACCCCTGAATGAGTGAACATGAACACTCCATACCGTCTGATAATCTGAATCATCGATCCGCAGAGCAGCAGAAGCGGGATATGGTAATTTTTCTCAATTCCATTCTGACTTGGAGGATTTGCATTGCTCGCTTCCATTAAGTGACCAAGCTTTCTTCTTATTTTTTTCGACAAAAGATCAGTGATCAAGCTTTAATTTGTGGTCAGCGATTTGATGTTGATGATTCAATTGATTTGTGCACTTTGTAGAGCTAGCTCGGAGGTCAGTCGCCGTCGCCTTCGTCGCTCGTCGACGATGTTTCTGGACTCCGCGACGCAGTTCTGGAGCTACTGGGGCCTCCGGATCTCTGTCCTCGTCAGTTTAGCGGTGTACGGCCTCCTGGGTCTCCTGTCCGTGACACGGCGGCGCTCGGCGTCCGGCAGCCTGCGGATCCTCCAGTGGGCGCTGGGGGCCATCCTCTGGACTTTCTACCAGTTCGCCGAGATAGCCGCGACGAATGCCCTCGGTAACCTGTCCCTCTCCGGCGCCGACGCGTCCGGGGAGGAGGAGCAGGAGCAGCAGCTGACCGCGTTCTGGGCGCCGTTCCTCCTCATCCACCTCGGCGGCCCGGACAACCTGAGCGCGTACGCTCTGGAGGACAACATGTTCTCCCTGCGCAAAACGGTGGAGATGGCCCTGCAGCTTGTCGGGGTCATGTATGCCATCTGGAACTACATATACCGCGGCCGCAGAAGCAGGGTTCTGTTGGCAGCGTCGGCCATCGTCTTCGTCGAGGGCGCCGCCAGGTACGTGGAGAGGGCATGCGCTCTGTGGCGAGCCAACTTGGACAACATGCAGGAGCAGGAGCAGGACGACTACTCAATCAAGAAGCCCGCGGAGCCAGCAGGATCGTCGTCGTCAGCAGGGGTCTGCAGCAGCTCCAGATCCAGGTCGTCCAGATCCAGGTCGTCCAGCTCCTGGGCGGCTGCTGTGGAAGTGGAATCCACGATCAGCATGTACAAAGAAGGACGGGCGCTTGACGACGGCGAGGCGCTGCTCCTTGCACAGGATTTGTTCCACGTCTGGCGTCGTTTCCTGGTGGATTCTTCCGTTGACCAACAGTCACCCTGGCAGCGTGCCAGCGAGAAGCTACTCTCGCTGCGTTGGAGCAGCATGTGCAAGGTGGTGGAGATGGAGCTCTCCCTCATGTACGAGGTCCTGTACACCAAGGCGACCGTGGCGCACACCTGGCCAGGCTACCTCATCCGCTTCACGTCGCCTGTCTGCAGCGCTGCCGCCGCATCGCTCTTCTGGCTCCACCGGGATCGTGGTCATGGCCGCCGCCCGATCGGGGCATCCTTTGTCGGCATCACCTACCTCCTGCTGGGCGCCGCCTTCGCCCTAGACGTGGTGTGGCTTCTCAGAGCCCTCGGGTCCACCTGGACGTACGCCTTCCTCAAGAAGACGAACAATTTGGCGCCGCGGCGGCGGCGGCCATGGGCTTGGTTTCACCACCAGGCTCTGTTCGCCGGATGGTGGCTCCGGCTCCACCGCGCCGTCGTCTACCTGGACCCACTGCGGCTGTTCGGCATCGACCCCGTCGCTTACAGGTTGTGGTCGGGCACCATCGGGCGTTACAACCTGCTGCACGAGTGCACTGCTCCTCGTCGCCCATGGCGCCGGTGGCTGGCCACCAAGCTCGGGCTGCAGGATAACAAGTATCTGTCCGAGCTTCCTCCAGGCGTCAAGCGGCTGTTGTTTGAGCGGGTACAGAGGATACTGCCGACGGCCGGCGATAACCCGGGTCCTCGTCGCCCTCCTCGTCCTGACCATGGGCGGATCCAACGGTGGGGCCGGGAGGCTCGAGCCCCCCCTACCCATACCACAACAGTGGAATTCTGGTGGAGCCTGCATAAATTTTTAGATAAGGTTCTATAGTATAAGAGGGCTGAGACTTAAGATCGAGCAGCAGTCAAAGATATGTGTTGTTTAGCCCCTCTAAAATTATTTATGGATCCGCCGCTGGTCCTGACGGTGGCGACGCCTACACCATGGTGGACATCACGACATGCTGGGGCCAGGAGGCCCTCCGGAGGGGCGCGTATCTATTCCGTGGTCGTGGACCGGATGGACAGCGGCAGCCCATTCTCGGCCGAGAATTCGAGCAGGACGTCCTGGTGTGGCACATCGCCACCTGCATCTTCCTCTCGCGCGCCATGGTCAGGAAGGAGGTGGCTAATTCGTCGGTCCACGCGCCGGCGATCGAGGCCATGTCCGAGCACCTGATGTTCCTGGTCGCCGAGCGCCGGCAGATGCTGCCGGGCCTCGTCCTCCACAGCCAACTGCAGGAGACCCGCAGAGCCTTGGAGGAGATATGGAACGACGGCCGTGAGGGAACCACCACCTCTGCCGCAGGAGGAGGACACCAAGACGACGAAGACAAGCTTGCTTGGCTGGTGCGACAGAAGAGGAAACACGACCGATCCTGGCTGGAAACCCAAGGCAGCAGGCGGCTCGTTCTGGATGCAGCCGAGGTTGCTGGTGCGCTAACAAAAGGCAGCCTGCGGCAGCGGCAAGTGGCGCCGATGCTGCACCTCATCTTCAACGTGTGGGTGGATAAGCTGCTGTACGCGGCCGTCAGGTGCAGCAGGGAGTCCCATGCCAAGCAGCTCAGCCGTGGTGGTGAGCTCACCACCCTGCTGTGGATTGTTATCCAGCATGCTGGCCCCTTTCGCATTGGACAACAAAAGCCCGGTTACCAGCAGGATTCCAAGAAGCCAGAGCCAAAGAAGGAGGAGGATAGTAAGAAACCTGATGAGGAGGAGCTATATGCATATCCGAGCCCATACCTGTACCCGTACCCACCGCAAGGGCCCCAATATGGGGTGCCCAAGCTCAAGCCCGAGCCCAAGCCCAAGCCCGAGCCCCCCAAGACCAAGCCCGAAGAAGCTGAGGATGAAGTGGATCCTGAGGATGCCGAAGATTATGAGATGCCCATAAGGTATGTTACTCTGTATTGATGCGTTGAAACAATCCTCGCGGTTCGCAAAAAATTTGATGCGTTGTACAAGATGACAATAAATAAATAAAGAGTATGAATCGGATAAGTTTGTACAAGATGACAATAAATAAATATTTTACGTTCTGCTCTGCAAGTTATTACAAACTTACTACAATGGTATGAATCGGATCGACTTATATGCCTCCAACATATACATACACCGCGTGCCACCACGCCCAAGCATTTCAACCTATACTAGAGTTTCTTTTGCATGCTTTGTGCTCTCCCTACCAGCCAGACTGTCAAAGCATTTTCTAAGACATTCGCTCCTCCACATAGTTTTATTTGTTGCACTCCGCATGTCATGTTCATATACTTCTCAACAAAATGGTAGAGCAGAACGTTCCCTTCGCACCATAAAAAATATTTTACATTCTCTCTTGTTTCAGGCGAGTCTCCCTCCGGTCTACTAGGTCGAAGCCCTTCACATTGCGACATACCTTGTGAACCGGCTCCCCACTAAAACCCTCGCCTTCTGGACACCATACAACTCTAATACTATTCAACCGAAAACACAACGGTTTTGCTTCTATTGCATAAAGTGATTGACCAAAAAAAAACTTGACAATGGGTTTCAAAAAAATTATGCACACATCATACACAGAGCTGCTCCCGCGCAACACCATTCGGCTGTCGTCGATGCATCCATGGGCTATGCGGTGCGGAAACATCAAGCTGGCTCAGTGAGCATGGGTTGCACAATGTGCATTAGGACCAAGGAACATCGATAAGAGACACATTGACGACATTCGAGCAGTGCTGCACGAATTTGCTCATAGAATTTTGTCCCCTAACGATGGGATGCCAAACAAGCAATTACCAATCCAAACAGGCGTCGGTTATTGATTGATACTATATATCTCACAATAAACTTTCCTGAAATATTAACTCACCTTTTTACAAATCATAGATTTTGATGTCTACATGTGCTTGATATATGATAGTCTTATTGAAAATGTTGCACCCTGCAATACAATACAATGAAAGGTATTATTATAAGAAACATAAAATGGAGAGAAAATTACTGCAAAAATGAAGGGGCCACAAGGGCTGATCTGCCCACTTAACGATAGCCACAGGTTGCAATAGCAAACTTAGAAGGAATTGCCACACAAGTGTGTTACCTCCCCTAATTCCTTCCAATCTTCAAACATACAACCAAGCAAAAGAAATAAAGCCCACAAGACCCCAATTAATTCCAACACTTGTTGCAGAAGGTGAAGCCCTCTCTGGTGGAGGTGATCCAAAGATCACTGTATCACCATATGAATATCTGATATCCCAATGGTTAGTGTGCTAAAGAAACTGAGAATTGATCCCTTTGTTGCTTGACTGCAAGGAGTAAAAGAACAAAGTATTTCAAACCTATCGGTAGTATGGTCATCAATCCTTCTTCTTATAAGTATGAAAAATAAGGGGATCTGGTCATAACAGTATCAAAGAGATACAAACTGCAGGTCGAACTGTTATGAAAAAGAAACTCAAACCGTGTTGGAACTGAAGCAAACTAATGGTGAAAGAGTGGGGTAGTCTGTTGGAATATTTGCATGAAAAAGCTCACATGATTCCAGAAGAAAAGCAACATGCACTAACTGTTTGTAGGCCGCATTGCAAAGATGACTTTATTTACAACATTTGTAGCACAAGCTATTCCTTATCTACACATCTAGTTAAATGACCTATTTTCAGCAACATTCATATACACAATTCACTGCTAGTAAGTAGTAACTTATCATAATAAAGTAGCCATGTTGCACACTAACTACTAGGTAAAATTGTCAGATGGAGGCCCTTCATCCACTTCGAGTGCTTTGTATAGAAGAGAAGCAAAGAACAGCAGAGCTTTCAGAGTAATGGATAAATAAACGAAGAGACGATTTGCCATGAGCACACCCTGGCATAAGAACTCTATCTGTACAGGAATTTATACATGTAGGTGCGATGCAGCAGCATGCTCATCATATGGTGAGTTGATCAAAATTCTCTCATATTTGAGATGCATTCCACGGATATCGAAAAGGATCGTGAGGGAAAGATCTTATGAAATATTTCCTCAAAAAAAAAAGATCTTATGAAATAAGGATCATTAAACTTTTTACTACTAAAATGTACACAACTTAGCAAAAGAATTTACCGTTGAAACAAAATTGTAATTAATTCCCATCAGGTTGACATATGATAAATGACATAAATAATCATATTTTTTGATGAAAATAAATAATCATATTCACGCACCAATAGAAACCTTTCTGAATCTTTCGGTGTGAAGCAATGAACCACCTTACTAATAAACTAAAAGTATGGATAGCAACATAATTTTTCACTTGTGAACTGAGTCGGTATTGGTTGTTTTTCATTTATGTAATATCGAAATGTGAGTCCTCTTGCTAGGATGGTCCAGCTACAGCTGTTTGGTCGACCTCCTTCGGCGCTCGACAGATGCACGTTGTTTGTAAGTTCAAACTCTTCTTCTTAATACAATGATACGCAAATATTTTGCATATTCTAGAAAAAAACTTGCCAACTGACATATAGCAATGTCAAATATATATAGGTAGCATACCCTTGAACAAATAAAGATGCCATGTACCAAAAGGCAACAAAATGTCCATATTATGTGTATATGTCTGTAAGTTTCAATGGTTTGGCATTTTCACAAACATTTGGCATGCCATTATCACCGGATTAATTTTGCATCTGTGGAAATCCTTGTAACAAAAACCAAGATGATGTAAGCATGCAAGATTGGAGTCGTCTAATATTCGATTTATATGAGTTACACCAGTGCTGATGGCATGGAAGGGGTTACCATATTTATTTTATGAGTTATGCTTGTGTTGATGGCAAGGGTACAATTGTCATTTCCGCTTTCAACTAATAGCTAACTAAATGCTTTGAGCCATCAATGGCACGTAATAAGAAAAACAATTCGTGAGGACCATCCACGCGGAAACATCGTGTGGATGTATGACTGACGCGTGGCCCATGAGACATGTGATTCACCATGGATACGTTTAAAATGATCTCATGGCCCCACATATCCGCAGCACAGACCACACAACGTCTGCATTGGGACGGTCCGCACGTAATTTTTTCCATAATAAGGGAAACATGATATATATGATTCAAATAATCGATAGAAATGGAGGGAATTTATAATTTCCAGTGGCACATTTAGGACTTTTTTAGAGTTATAGAGCTTAGCGCCAGTCTTGGCATTTAGCAAAGACAAAAACATTCGGTTAGAGGATTCAGGTGGCGCACCTGCCCAAAACATTGAGAAGATGAAACGACAAAAACAAAAATCACTCCACCTCGGATTTAGTTATCACTAACACTCTCCATATTCACCAAACTAAACCAGCTACTCTTGCTATCATCAAAACCTCCCTAAAAAAAGAATGTTAGATAATCTCCGCTTCACTTCATTTGGCACTTCAGGGGTCGTTTGGAAGAGCTCCAGGATTTTTTTTAAGAGAATCACTCCTAATCAGGTAAACACTCGAATGACAACGGATTCAGGTAGAGATCAGGAGAAAATCATTTCTTCATTTACGCTATGAACTCAGAGCTTAAAAAAAACCTGCTCTTTGTCATATTTAGACGGAGATCCGCAGAGAATCTAATTCTCGTCTGCTCCCCGTACTGCTCTCCTATGAATGCAACGAAATCACTCCGCCGTAGAATCCGGAGCAGAGCGAGCCTTCGCTCTCCGTGTCCTTGCCAGCTCCGTCGGGGCCATCGCTCCATCCGACGTGGCGCAACATCCATACACTTGGCCCTTGGCTGGCCCAGTAGCCAGCAGAGACACCGAGGCCACGTCGGACCCACCAGTCTGACCCGACCGAGCGAGCCAATCGCATTGACGCAGCGCTTGACGCCCGCGGCCGCGGGCCCGGGACGAGACGAGCAGGAGCAGCCAGCACGCCGCCTGGATGCCCCCGCCCTCCGCTTGTCCGTCTCCCACTCTCCCTCCATTTCATGCCCTGTGCCCGCGGCCGTACGGCCACCCCGCACGCACGCATCCACCACCATTTCCATTCCACCACCGTCCCGTCCCCCTCCGATCCGGCCGGGACCCCCACTCCGCCCAGCCCCAGGCGCCCGGGCTAGATCCGGCCCACGCGCCTCGCTCCCCCTTCCCCAATCCCTAACCGCCGCGGCCGCTGCCATCGTCGTCGTCGGAGCGGGGGCGCCGAGAGGGGAGGGGCACCGCGGGCAATGGCGCGGCGGGTGCGGCCGTCGCACCTGGTGCTGGCGCTGGCGGCGGCCTACCTCCTCCTCATCTCCCTCAAGTTCCGCCGCGTGCTGGACCTGGCCGCCGCCGACCTCGCGGGGGACCCCGCCGCCGCCTTCTCCTCGCCGTCCTCCTCCGACCACCTGCCCTCGCCCGGGTCCGTCTCCTCCTCCTCCTCCGCCTCCACCTCCTCCGACGCCTCCACGGCCTCCCCGTTCCCGGTCCGCCCCTTCTGGCACCGCTACGACCGCGTGTCCCTCCCGGACCTCGCGTCCCGCAACCGCTCCGCGCTCGACCGCATGGCCGACGACGCCTGGGCGCTCGGCCTCACCGCCTGGGAGGAGGCCGCCGCCTTCGCGGGGGACCCCTGGGCGCTGCTGGCCGCCGCCACCTCCCGCGCCTCCGACGCCGCCAAGTGCCCCTCCGCGGTGTCCCAGCGCGCGCGGGGCCGGGTCGTCTTCCTCCCCTGCGGCCTCGCGGCCGGGTCGTCCGTCACCGTCGTCGGCACCCCGCGCGCCGCGCACAGGGAGTACGTGCCGCAGCTCGCGCGGATGCGGCAGGGGGACGGCACCGTCATGGTGTCCCAGTTCGTGGTCGAGCTCCAGGGCCTGCGCGCCGTCGACGGCGAGGACCCGCCCAGGATACTCCACCTCAACCCCAGGCTCAGGGGGGATTGGAGCCAGCACCCGATCCTCGAGCACAACACCTGCTACAGGATGCAGTGGAGCACCGCGCAGCGCTGTGACGGCACGCCATCTGACGACAATGACGACAAAGGTCCTCTGCGTCTTGTTGCTTCATTCTGCTTATTCTTCTTCTTCGGCAACTCTATTAGATGTTCTAACTACTAACTTGCAACACCAGCCCATTTTAGGATGATATGATAGGTACACTTAGTATCATGTTTCTGTTTTAATAAGTAAAAAATAGTACTAGATGGTTTGCAATGACTTCTGTTCAACTATGCCAACTGCTTCTTACTAACAGAGTTGGTAGTACTTCCGCGGAATTTTAAGGGCATGTACGACCCAGAGACCGGGTATCGTCTCTAAGAGAGTAGAATCTGACATAGAGACAATTAAAAAGACTGGTCATACAACCCAGAGACGGAGGGTCGTCTACAAGCAATTTAATGCTTTGCATGTAGCCAAAATCAATCATGAATATCAATTTGTATATCATTGTGTGGCCATTTTGATGGGAGACAACAGTTTGTTATAAAAAATGGCAAGGGAATAAACAAACATGCATAAACAGGCTATTCGTTTTCTCTTGTGAAATTAGCACACGCAGAGACAGATCATCAGTTAACCGAAGCAAGCACACTCAGAAACTTAGCTGAAATGAGCACTGAAACTTAACTGAAATGACCACCATCCAGTTTTCAGAAATTTAACAGAAACTTAACTGGACAAAAGTTTCAGAACATATCACCACCATCAAAACTAAGTATGCTACAGGGCATAGTTAGTTTCAGTACCAATACATATAGGAAGTCCAAATTACCCTAACATTACATTGAGGCTATTGATTTTGTAAATGCAGAGATTCAGATAAATGTGGCCACCACACAACAAAGATTCAGATAACTGAAACACTCACTCCATCACACTTTAAGTGAAACAAAAGGAACACTAGGCAGCTATATGTGAACTCTGAAATCTGAACTCAGACGTCTAGGACATGTAACTAAAAAGATCAATGGCTGAAACTTGATAGGACCATAGGTGGCGATGCACACTCTGTTCTTGCCAAATTATTTGTGGACCATATGTACTTTTCCTAGCCGACGCTTGACATCGCGGCCGCCGACGCGCTCCATGTAGGGACAGAAAAGAGAACAGATAGCAGTTCATGATCTCAGTTTGCTCATACAAGTCTTCAGAACTGCTATTTTTCTGAATTGGAACATAACTGAAATCAGATAACTTGATGCTTAACTGAATGTCGGCCTTCAATTATCAAATTGCAGCTAGCAAGGTAGTTGACACCATGCAGTTCTGATAGATAAGCATACAGGTAGAACTGAATGTCACCGGCACTAAATCCTGGATGAGCGTGGAAGTCGACCACCCTCCGCTCACCAAACCCTTCAATAGGCTTCACAGATCAAGGAATTGCTAAATGAGCGCACAAATCGTCCCCTCCACTTTGCAGCTTGCAGCTTCAGCTTGCACGCATGTAAGGGTCGCACAAGAGGTAGAGGTTCTTCACCAGCACCGCGGGGCCACCGGCGCCCGCGGGGACGCACAACTCGACGGCGCCGGCGCCATCGTCAACGAGCTCCATGTCGTCCTCCCTGGGCGCGCTCTCGATGTACCCGCCCAGCACAACCTTCCTGTTCCTCGCCACCACCTGCCGCTCTTGCTCCACACCGCCGCTGTCGTTGCCACACGCTCGGGATTTTGCCGCGATAGATTCCTCCCGCGCGCGCAGACCACAATCACGCGTGAGAGAGGGCTCGGGATCCTCGCATCGTTGAGTCGGGGCGACGGGCACTACAACACTGCTGGAGCCGTCCTCTCAGCCTCGGAGCACGAGCCTTCCTCGTCGCCTCGCGAGATGACACAGTGTCCGTCTCCAAGCTTGGATGGGGTATTTTTTACAAAAACGGCAACGAAGAGACAGGCTGAAAGGACCCGTTGTACATGCCCTAAGCCACAATTTTGTCACAGTTGCCCCTTTTCCCGAATTTACTTCCTACTGAGATTAACATTTATGGCTAGTACGGATGGTTTCAATGCATAGGAGTAGATAGCAAACTATCAACAATTCTCTGCACGTTCACATCTTTGCAATTTTTACCTCGTTTTCCTGTTATATAATTGTTAGATAACTGTCTGCTGTTATAACTGTCTGTCAAACTTAGACCGAATAGCCACAAACTTCAAATTGTCAGATCCTTTATCACTTATAACATCCCCTTCCTCTGTCCAGAAAAAAACACAAAAGTGTTCCCTCTCTGTCGTTTATTGTGACACTAGCATATTTGGCTAAAACCTACAATTTCATTTTTTTCCCCAACAGTCGATGGATTCCCCAAATGTGAGAAATGGATACGCAATGACATTGTTGACACCAAGGAGTCCAAGACAACTTCATGGTTGAAAAGATTCATAGGGCGTGCAAAGAAGCCTGCAATGACATGGCCATTCCCCTTTGTAGAGGAGAGGCTATTTGTTTTGACTATCCAAGCTGGAGTTGAAGGTTTCCACATTTACGTTGGTGGTCGACATGCGACATCTTTTCCTTATCGACCAGTATGTTCTTAAGACATGTTTATCTGCTGTTCCTTTTAAAATTTATTTTTGTTATGATATCTAGAGTAGACACTTAGGGGTACCAGGTGATTATTTTCAGGGGTTCACTCTTGAAGATGCAACGGGATTATTTGTTAAGGGTGATGTAGATGTACATTCAGTTTATGCCACTGCTCTTCCTATGTTGCATCCTAGTTTTTCTCTTCAACAAGTCCTTGAGATGTCAGAAAAGTGGAGGTCTCGGCCACTACCAAAAGGTCCTGTTTCCCTTTTCATTGGAATATTGTCTGCATCAAATCATTTTGCTGAGCGCATGGCTGTGAGAAAAACATGGATGCAGACTCCAGAAATTAAGTCTTCTGAAGCAGTGGCTCGATTCTTTGTTGCACTGGTAAGCAAATTATCCATCCAAATAAATAATATTTGTAGCTAAACATTTTAGTCCTGACATGCTAACACAAATTCAAGTTGTCGATATTGCTTAAGTGTACACCTAAACACCCTTAACGATTAGTCATGCCTTAAGAAGGTGTGGTAGCCCTGTTATTTCTGGATCTGATTTGTGCTAGATCAAAATGCATTTTCAGGTCTATGCAGTATAACTTGCAATCTGTATTTAATTCTATGCCTAGTAAAATGCAATAGCATGTAGTGTTGAAAGTACATATTATCAACTGTATGACTGCACCTGCTTGGTGTGAGAATTGAGAAATTGCATAAATGTTAAAGACTCTGGACTGTCTGCCATCCACCCACTTTTAATCACCATGCTTCAAAATTTCAAATGCAATCATCTTAAAACTTAAATTCTGTGGTATAGCTACTTGCCTACTCACCAGTTACCATCCTTACTGCCTCACCATTTATCGTACTTTGTGAAATATCAAACTGACTATCATCATCTGGCGCTGAATTCTCAGTTTTTTAATGAAATTTATGCACTCCAAACAACGATGGTTGGAAATATTAGTGGCTTACATTTTCTTAGAGAAAATATAAATGTGCTTTAGGAAATGATAAATGCTATTTGCTTCATCATGATAAAATTGTGTTTGCAGAATTCCAGGAAAGAGGTCAATGTAATGCTGAAGAAAGAAGCAGAATACTTCGGAGACATTGTCATTTTGCCATTTATAGATCGCTATGAGCTGGTTGTTCTTAAGACAATTGCTATTTGTGAGTATGGGGTAAGACACTTGTGCCATTATAATGCCAAATTTGTGTTGTTTGTCAATGTCAACTAAAGCGAACTTGCAATGGCTTGTGATCTGTTTCTATCTATGCTCAATAATTGTGACTGTTTTCACATGTTACTTCTAGGAGAAGTTAAGCCCTATAAGGCTAACATAGGCTAATGGACTGCCAATCATGAAAGTCACTAGAACTTTTAGTTGCCATACAAACATGTCAGCCAATAATAAGCACCCTGTATCGACTAATCATGAACATGATGTCTGTTGCTCTTTATGGCCTTACAGGTCCAGAACTTGACTGCTGCAAACATCATGAAATGCGACGATGATACATTTGTGAGAGTAGATGTGGTTCTGAGACACATAAAGTTGCATAGTGACAGCAAACCATTTTATATGGGGAACCTTAACCTCTTGCATAGACCATTGAGAACTGGAAAATGGGCAGTTACCGATGAGGTAATCTCCTCATTACAATGCAGGTGTTGCCAACATTGGCAATATATGCCCCTCAGTTCCAACCATGTTCATCTGTGTAAATTGCAGCCCATCTTGTGTCACCATCACATACCACATTTTCTTCATTGTCTGTCCTGACTCCTGTCAATAAATTACCACAGGAGTGGCCTGAGGATATCTACCCGCCATATGCAAATGGACCAGGCTATGTGATTTCTGGTGACATAGCAAAATTCATCGTGTCACAGCATGCCAATCAGAGTTTAAGAGTGAGTTTGTGCTGGTTCCTTCTCCAGATTACTTTTCACATAAACTTGAATTCCTGATGTACAAATCGGGCTGTCTTGCAGCTGTTTAAGATGGAAGATGTAAGTATGGGTCTATGGGTTGAGAAATTCAATGCAACAAAGCCTGTCCAATATTCCCACAGCTGGAACTTCTGCCAGTATGGTTGCGTGTTCAACTACTACACAGCCCACTATCAGTCACCTAGGCAGATGCTGTGCTTGTGGGATAAGTTGATCCGTGGTCAGGCTGATTGCTGTAACTACAGATAGCTAAGCGAAGCAAAGGATTGCTGGACGCTGTCCTCTCTTCATCATACCCCGGCCAGGTTTAGTTTGGTTGGCTGGTATTCTCCTTTTTGACACGATCACTGGATCTACATCGATAGTGTAGGTGTTGTTGCTCCTCTATTGCCGGCTCAATATGAGCTAAAAGCATGGGTGTGAGGTAGGAGCTTGAAGATTTAGGAAGCTCCAACCAGATGGTTAGTGTTTTTACACGATCTGTATTGGTCCAACTGTGGCGTAGGCGTCCTTGTTCTTGTAATTGATCCAATTTTTTTGATGTAGTAGGCCAGATTAGAATGTCCAGATCAGATGTACGTCTTCGTTCTTTTCTTATATACAAGTTATAACTAGACAACTGTTCCCTGCTCTTTGCAGTCTCCTGATGCTGAAATCTTCAGCATTGCTTTATTTCAATCACTTTGTCTTGACTGTAGTTCTATAATCTTATGGCAGGATCGGAAAATAAAATTTTCGTTGAAATCAGCTATGCATACAAAATTTTTTGATGAAAAATTTCCAGGAATGTGACATGAAACAATTTGTTTCTTACAGGATCTTGGGAAAAAAGGGAAATAATGTTTCACATACTACTGTTCATCTGAAAAAGGATGTAATTCTGGGTTTTGGTTGAGTTAAACTTTCTTAAGTTTAGCTAAATTTATAGAGAATATTACTAAAATTTATGACTCTAAATTCATATACTATAAAAATGTATCTCATGTTGAATCTAATTACAATTAGTATTTGGTATAATTAATAATATTGTTTTTTTGATATATGTACAAAATCTGTCAATGGTAGTCACTTTGTTCCAAATTATAATTTGTTTTAACTTTTTTCATTTTGCTATGCATCTAGATATAATAATATGTCTAGATATATAGCAAAATTGATGAACCAAAAAAGTTAAAGTGATTTATAATTTAAAACAGAGGGAGTAGTTCCGAAACTACCATTTTTCAAACATTGAAACACACAGATGAAACACTGAAACGGTGAGAGAGAGATTAACTCATGAACTGCCTCACGATATAAGATGATTTCGAACTCTGAGACTTTTTCCTGTCATTGCCATAATTTGAAAGAACGCCATTACTTCAACTTTTGATGCCACTTCCGTCGAGTAGTCAAGCTCTGAAACTACCATTTTTCAAACATTGAAACAGAAAGATGAAACACTGAAACGGTGAGAGAGAGAGATTAACTCATGAACTGCCTCACGATATAAGATTATTTCGAATTCTTTATAGGCGAGCAGTGATGCAAGTGATTTGAATAATTTGATCTTCTGAATGTCGTGTAGTTATGGGAAAGCAATTAAGCAAAGTTTTGATTGACGTGGACGGAGAAATTGAAATGTGGACGGGGCTATTCGTCAGCGTCAGACAGATGCAAGTGATTCGAATAACTGAAACGACTCCTCACGATATAAGATGATTTCGCTCTTTATAGGCGATTTGAATCGAGTCCAATTAAGCAAAGTTTTGATTGCAACGGAGAAATTGAAATGTGGACGGGGCCATTCGTCAGCAGACAGACAAAATCGACTCCGCCGCTCTCAGAGCCCCTGCTGCGGTTGGCGGCAATGGCCCAAGAGCTCTGGCCATGGCCGCCCTGGCCGGCACGGGCGTCCCGTACCGTCTCCCATGCCAGGAGCATCCCCTGCCCCCGCCGGTGCGGGCTTTCCCCAACAGGGCCCACCTCAACGCGCTGCTCACGTCCTACGGCCGCCGCGGCCGCATCCAGGACGCCCAGCAGCTGTTCGACCGGATGCCCCGCCGCGACGTCATCTCCTGGACGGCCCTCCTCACCGCCTACGCCGACGTCGGCGACCTCGCCTCCGCGCGCCTCGTCTTCGACGACATGCCCCGCCGCAACGCCGCCTCCTGGAACGCGCTGGTCTCCCTCTACCTCCGCGCGGGGCGGCACGCGGCTGCGCACGCGCTCTTCTGCAAGGCGCCCGCCAAGAACGCCGTGTCCTACGGCGCCATCATAACGGGCCTCGCTAGGGCGGGCATGCTGCGGGAGGCACAGGCGGTGTACGGGGAGGTGCCGCCGCGGTGGAGGGACCCCGTGGGGTCCAACGCGATGATCTTCGGGTACCTCGGGGCCGGGGAGCTTGGCATGGCGTTGAGGGTGTTCGATGCAATGGCGGAAAGGGACGTCATTTCTTGGAGTGCTATGGTTGATGGGCTATGCAAGTATGGGACTGTGTCCGAGGCCAGGAGGCTGTTTGAGGCAATGCCTGAGAGGAATGTGGTGTCGTGGACCTCGATGATCCGAGGATATGTGAAACGCGGGATGTACAGAGATGGTCTCTTGCTGTTCCTGGACATGAGAAGGGAAGGTGTTCAGGTTAATATGATTACACTCTCGGTTGTGCTAGATGGTTGTGCTCAGGCCAGTCTTGTCGACGAAGGGATCCAGGTTCACAGCTTGATGATGAGAATGGGGTTTGCAAAGGATATATTTTTGGGTGATTCACTGATAATAATGTATTCTCGATTTGGCTCGATGGCTGATGCTAGAAGGGTTTTTGCTTTCATGAAGCAGAAAGACATAGTATCGTGGAACTCATTGATCACTGGTTATGTTCAGAATAACATGATTGAAGATGCTCATGTGCTGTTCAAGTTGATGCCAGAGAGGGATGCTATTTCTTGGACGTCAATGGTGGTTGGGTTTGGTAATAGGGGTTGGATGAGAGAGTCTGTTGAACTCTTTGAGCAAATGCCTATAAAAGACGAGATTGCCTGGGCTGCAGTTATTTCTAGTTTTGTTGCAAATGGAAACCATGTGAGTGCGGTGCGCTGGTTTTGTCAGATGTCACAGGAAGGATGCAGACCTAATACTGTTGCTTTTAGTTGTTTGCTGAGTGCTTTGGCTAGCTTGGCTATGCTGAATCAGGGATTGCAAGCTCATGCTTATGCAGTCAACATGGGATGGATATTTGACTCGGCTGTCCACGCTTCTTTGGTGACAATGTATGCAAAATGTGGTAGGTTGGCTGAGGCTCATCGTGTTTTCTCATGCATTAGCAATCCAAGCCTTATTGCCACTAATTCTATGATTACAGCATTTGCACAACATGGCTTGGCTGAAGATGCATTCAAACTTTTTAAGAGAATGCAATATGATGGCCAAAGGCCTAACCATGTGACATTCTTGGGAATACTGACTGCATGTGCTCGAGCTGGTTTGGTTCAACAAGGTTATAACTACTTTGAATCCATGAGATCAGCCTATGGTATTCAACCAAACCCTGACCACTACACATGCATGGTTAATCTTTTAGGTCGTGCAGGCTTCCTTGATGAAGCACTGGAAATGATTAATTCGATGCCCCAGAAAGATTATCCTGATGCATGGGCAGCTTTGCTTAGCTCTAGTCGCCTCCATTCTAATCTTGATTTAGCAAAATTAGCAGCACAGAGGCTTCTTGAGATAGATCCTTACGACGCAACAGCTTACACAGTCCTGTCAAACATGTTCTCCTCAGCAGGGATGAAGGAAGATGAAGAGATGGTAAAGGTTGCACAATTATCCAACATGGCTAGTAAGATTCCTGGGTATAGCATCATCATACAGGATAAGACTACAGAAAATAACTAACACAGAATGAGCACCTCCATCTACAGAAAACTGGCATGTCATAAGACAGGGATATTGGGTTGATGGGTTCACAAAAAACAATTCTAGTGCCAAGATTAGATGTCAATTTGTTGATTTATGTTAGTGCAGAATCAGTTTTAATACTTAAGAACTGAGAATGAGGAATATCTGATAAGATGATTAGTGATTTGAAGAATACAGAGCCAGGTGGTCTGGGTCAAATTTTGGTTAGTCTTGCCTCTTATATCACTATTTTCAGGATAGAATTTTCAGTACTGCAACTGATGTTGTATTTGATTAGTAGGAAATTTTTTTTTATCCCTGTTAAGGTAGTTTTGGCAGATGTAAATCTTATCCCCATAGTAGAATGTAGTGCCATATAATGCTGTTCAGATTCATTACAATCCTGATGTTAATTGCACGTTTTTCAGAGACTGGAGAGTTGATGATACTTCTGCAAATAATTCATCTGCTATTGTTATATTGAACAACAAGAAAATCGTTGGCTGCTCACGCTTTCAAGAATATTTTGTGCATGATCTATTCTCATCAATTGTTAGAGAAGAGTCACTGAGTGAGGTAATCTTTATGCTGGTTCATCCATTTCGATCAGACAACCATACCAAGGTGAATTGGGTGATCATTAGGCTTTTCTTTTAGCAATAGAAGCTTCCAAGTAATTCATGGAGGTCTATGGGTGTTCTCAATAAAAATAGGGATTTTTCGAATGAATAAAAAAGGGATTATCTGTACCTTGGTTATAGATTTAGAGGGTGGAGTAGGACTTTGCTAAACAAGGTTTTTCTTTTTTTGGCTGAGCAAATTGCAGATTAGTGGGGAAGAGACTAATTACGGGAACACAACTTCAGCTTGCTCTTTGAATAAATAATCATGTTTCGTGACCTTTCTTTTATTCTAGTCCTCTTCTATTTTTTCCCTTGGCATTTTCCCAGTGGTCTACAGTCTACATTGTGCGAGTCATGTCAAGATCATGACAGTTTTTATATACATGGTGGTAGTTGAGATGCTTAACCATATACATCAACACAAGAACCATGACCAATCCAATACTGTAACCAATTTGCTTCAACCTCAGTCACTCAATTTACTTTGTACTTATACCAGGAAGCTTGAGACATCCCATAAATAGGCCGACATTTGCAATTAAACTTTAGCTGCCATCTGTTTCTGAACCATGGATCCATTTGTTCTCTCCATCCTCTTATGCTCATGGATCTTTGTTGTAGTGTACTGGAGAAGGCTGAACAGCATGAGGCTAAGGCTTCCACCTGGACCTCTAACATGGCCAATCTTTGGCAATCTTCTCCAGTTGAGCCCGCTTCCCCACAAAGACTTTGCCCGATTTTGCACCAAATATGGCCCTCTTGTCTATCTTCGCCTAGGAACCATCGATGCCATCACCACTGATGATCCAGAGGTCATCCGTGAAATACTCATCCGGCAAGATGAGGTCTTTGCTTCACGGCCTCGGACACTGGCTGCTGTCCATCTTGCCTATGGGTGTGGCGATGTGGCTCTAGCTCCGCTGGGGCCCAACTGGAAAAGGATGAGGAGGGTTTGTATGGAGCACTTGCTGACGACCAAGCGGCTCGAGTCGTTTGCTGCTCACCGACCTCAGGAGGCTGAGCACCTTTGCCAGTTTGTATGGGCTAAATCTCAGTCCTGGAAGCCCGTGAACCTCAGAGAGGTTCTTGGCGCATTCTCGATGAACAACGTCACGAGGATGCTGCTGGGGAAGCAGTACTTTGGGATCCAGTCGGCAGGCCCTGGCGAAGCAATGGAGTTCATGCACATCACCCATGAGCTGTTCTTCCTGCTGGGCCTGATCTATCTCGGGGACTACTTGCCAGCTTGGAGGTGGGTCGACCCGTACGGGTGCGAGAAGAAGATGAGGGAGGTCGAGAAGAAGGTGGACGACTTCCACCAGAAGATAATTGATGAACACAGGAGAGCTAGGGAGGCCAAGAAGACTCGGCGTTCCTCCCTTGATGACGACGACGGCAAAGAAGAGATGGACTTCGTCGATGTGCTGCTATCTTTGCCCGGTGAGAACGGGAAGGAGCACATGGACGACATGGAGATCAAAGCGTTGATGCAGGTATATATGCTCTTGCTATATTGCATACCCTGAAATTTAATTCAATTTGTTGAAGCTAGTTATGAGTAATGTTTTTTTCCTTTTAATTAATTAATCAAATAAAACTGAAACTTTCACATATATGCGTGTTCATCATCACGAAACTAACGCAGGACATGATTGCTGCTGCTACGGACACTTCATCGGTGACCAACGAGTGGGTGATGGCGGAGGTGATCAAGAACCCGCGCGTGCTCCGGCGTGTCCAGGACGAGCTGGACGCTGTCATCGGGCGCGACCGGATGGTGGCGGAGTCGGACCTGGCCCACCTCCCCTACCTCCGGTGCGTGGTCCGCGAGTCGTTCCGGATGTGCACCCGGCGGGGCCGTTCCTGATCCCGCACGAGTCCCTGAAGCCGACGACGATCATGGGGTACCACGTCTCGGCGCGCACGCGGGTGTTCATCAACGCGCACGCGGGTGTTCATCAACACGCACGCGCTGGGCCGGAACCCGCGCGTGTGGGCGACGTCGACGAGTTCCGGCCGGAGCGGCACCTGCCGGCCGAGGAGGGCGGGCGGGTGGAGATCAGCCACCTGCCGGACTTCAAGATCCTGCCGTTCAGCGCCGGGAAGCGCAAGTGCCCTGGCGCGCCGCTCGGCGTGGCGCTGGTGCTCATGCATGGCGCTCGCCAGGCTCTTCCACTGCTTCGACTGGTCCCCGCCCGACGGTCTCCGCCCCGAGGACGTCGACACCCAGGAGGTGTACGGGATGACCATTCCCAAGGCCACGCCCCTGGTCGCCGTCGCTGCGCCTGCCGCCGCACTTGTACGGCGGCTCGGCTCCTTAGTTTGACGCACGCACGCACGCTGCCAGTCATGGCGGCAAGTAAATTAAATCCATGGTGATCCGTGCATCTTTGCTCCTAAACAGTGCGGCAGAGAAGTGGCCATCCTAGCTATATACATGATGTTCCATAAACTGATTAAACGATGAATGAAATGAAGTTCTCTGATTTGAGTTTGAGATAGATGTTTAACATCATTTAACGGTAAGCCATAGTGTATATAATACTAATGATCCAATGAGCAGAGAGGTAGCTAGGTGGCAACGAAGCAAGCATGGAACTGTTGCAATGGCAGCCGTGGCGTTCATGCACGGCATGGCCAAAAAACCCTATCCATCTGCCATTTTTGGCGTACCAATGCATCACCCAAAGCTGCCATTACGAGCAACATCAGCACCAGCGAGAAGCTGAATCGCTTCGCCGACCCAGAGACCCCTATAAAACCCCAGCGTTCGAGCCACTCCATGATCGGAGCTCACGGACAGCAACATCGATCGGCAACAAGAGCAGCAGCAGCAAAGTTATTAGGGAGACATCTCGATGATGAACAAGGGCGGCGCGGTGGCGGTGGCGTTGGTCGTCCTGCCGGCGGCGAGGCCGGACCCGGACGTGAGCTGCGCGGACGTGGACGAGAACCTGCGGCCCTGCGTCGGGTACGTGACGGGCAAGGAGGCGGCCCCGGCCGCCGAGTGCTGCGCCGGCGTGAAGCGGATCAGGGCCATGCCGTCCGGCACGGCGGACCGGCGCCAGGCGTGCGAGTGCGTCAAGCAGGCGGCGGCCAAGTACCAGCCGCTCAACGCCGACGCCATCCGCGACCTCCCGGCGCAGTGCGGCGCGCCGCTGCCGTTCCCGCTCACCCTCAGCTTCGACTGCACCACGTGCGTATATCCTATCCTAATTAACTTCATTACTAGCGTAGCATATATACCACCATATGATCTATGTTGTACTGATTAATGCAATTTTCCTTTTGGTTTCTGACCCCTCTAATAAGGGCCTAGCTGTGCGAGCTGATTTTTTTATATTTTTTATGTGAGAAGAAAAAGAAACAACTATCATGATATAATAAAAAAGAAATAGGCTCCTGAGGGTCCCATCAAGAAGAAGAAGAAGAAGAAGTTTAACTAATAAGGAATGCCCTGAAACCATCCAGCGCCATCTAACAACTAGATCGAGCATTATGTTGATAATTCGATATATTCAACAAATATGAAAAAGTCTCGCATATTGTAAAATTTGATTACATTTTAATAGATTTAACTCAAGACTGCTCTAGAAATTAGTTTATTCAGAATGATGGAGTAGATAATATAATACTTTCTACGCCTAAACGAAAAACCCACTCTACCATTTTAAAATTTGTCTCAAAGAAATTTATTTGTCCGCAATAACTAGTTTTCTCTGCATTAATTTAAATCCACATATGGTCTCCCCTTAAGGCTACTTTTAGTCCACGGCACTCTCTCCGTCCTTATTATTCCTTAAATCACACAAGATATATATACTAGTAGAGAACAAATCTTTAGTCCCAACTAGAGTTGGCATCAAATGACCTTTAGTCCCGGTTGATGCCATCCACGGGTAGAGCTGGATATCGAGCCAGCTCGGCTCGGCTCGGTCCAGCTCGAGCTGGCTTGTTAGGCTAACAAGCCAGCTCGGCTCGGCTCGTTAATATTACGAGCTAGAGGGGCAGCTTGGCTCGACTCGTTACCAAGCTCAAGCTGGCTCGTTTAGCTCGGGAGCTATAAAAAAAATATGACACACATGTTTATAATGTTTATGCTACATTAATTCCAGAATATGACGTCCACCATTATGCAACCATACATGATTAATACATAACAGGTTCATCAAAAGTATCAACCATGCAACATAGCTGTTCTATCCATGATCAAACAGTTTTAGCATACTAACTAGTTGCTTGCCACAACAAACTTAGAAAAGTCCACAGATTCAATGTCGTCGTCATCATCTTCTCCCTGAAAAACAATCCACAAAATAAACATTTAAGTACCACAACAATTATAAAATTAAAATTCATATGAAACAACTGAAAATAAGGATTACATACCAATAGAATAAGTGTACATTTCTAGGTCAGCATCATCATCTTCTGGATTCATGGTCGTGGGCTGATAGGCCTCAGCTCGTTTCAGCTCGTGAGCAGCTCGCGAGTTAGCTCGTTAAAATAGCGAGCTAGACTTCCAGCTCAACTCGTGAAAAAGTTAAAACAACCCGAGTCGAGCCGAGTTGAGCCGGCCATGAGTCGAGCGAGTTGGTAAGCTGCGAGTATTTTGTCCAGCCCTATCCACGGGTTAGTTCTAAAGGAAATCATCAAATCTAAGGTCACATGTGCTATGTAATCGGAGTTGGAAAGTTACGCTCGAGACAATACATAAGGTCTTGGGCGTCGTCCCATGAGTCACACAAATTTAGTTTTAGCCTCACAGACCCCTTTAGTTCCGGTTCAGACAACCAGAACATGGCCCTCTAGTCCCAAATCCCAACCGGGACTAGAACCACTTTTTGTGCTAGTGATAATTAAATGCTAGACATGTTTGTGACTATGAATTGTGAGCCCCATGGGTAACTTAGTTTTCATTAAGCTGGATTTCTTACCAAGTTGTATTACCATGAAGATACAAAACTTCTCTCTCCTCGTTACTACCCTCTGTCTAGAAATGACTTACTTGACCAGAGAAAAAGTCATGCAAAGTAGATTTTGACCCTTAAGTTCTTTTATAGTATGTACTTAAGTGATAAAAGAATCAATATCAACACAAAATCTATTGATGCAAGTTTTGTGCTTTAAACTTGCATATAATTTGACTATTTTTTTTTGTTAAAATGTATAAAGTTTAACTTTTTCTATGATCAAATATGATTATCATTAACTTCTGGACGGATGGAAGGAGTAGTTTGGCACCATGCCAGCAAAAATCCTATTATTTCAGACCATTTAATGTGCATGATCTATATTACCTACAGGGATTAGCCTAATTACTCCTATATGCATGTGCATTTGGACATTTAATTGTGGCAGCTTATCCAACATCATGCCTAAACAAAAAGGCAACTACTGTCATTTCACCTCTGAGCTGCAGATCTATCTTTTTTTCTAGAGTTAAGCATGCTTTCTTTTTAGGACGTAGTAAATAATGATAACTGCGTGTTCTATAATGTGAAACTCGCAGTGTGAGTACCACGTGAACCCTAGTCTACGTCCAAAAATACATGACATGACCCACAAATACTATATGGAAGGACTTTAATTATTTGTGTTTTGTCACTGCGTGTGCATGGTTTAGTCGTTGTACTAGTTCGTTTCATCCCCAAACCAAGGGGTTTGGAGGTGATTGAGAGAGGGATGGATTTAACCTCCTACAAGTCAAAGTCCTCCTCAAGGCTCGTTCGGTTATTTAGCAACGAGTTCATGAAACAGTTCTCAATTAGAATAGTTCACTAATTTGTATAATGTTGATAAGCTAGAATAGTTTCTAGCTCCGTTCCTAGCTAACCGAAGGGGCCTCATTCCTCCCATCCTCCCCAAACCCCCTTTGTTTGGAAAAAGAAACGAACAGGGCTGAATGAGAACCTGGCCGGTGGGGCGGTGCTCAATGTCTGTGTTTGAGAGCAGGGTGGCCATGGAGAACCAACTGAACGTTTTTGAGCTGGTTGTAGCTAGGGTTTCGCAAACGGATCGGAGCTTAATTAATTTGGCTGAGGTACATGTACGTGCTGACAATTTGTGTATTGATGGAAACCTCAATCATGCATGCAAAGATGCATGGATAGACGGTGGGTGGGATTTAGTTCGTTTCCTGATGATTCTGGAGGGAGAGGATAGTTAGATCCACTGCCAATAATGTTTGTTGGGGTAGGTGCTCGTCAACTCGAATGTCTTTTCTCAGGATCTCTAGCTTGGAACTGGAAGGGTGCCGTGCCATGACTCATGCAGAGGTTCATGGCAACATATATAATGTCAACTGAACTTGGATCCGTCTACTAGCATGTGTGACTATTGGTGACAACAATTCAAAATAATGAGGGTTTATGGCATTACACCATTTTTTGGCAATGTTAATTAAGCTTTAGGTTGCCCTTCTCCTGACATGGGTTTTTTCTTGGCTCACTTCTCTTCTCTTTCCTATCTTCATTCAATGAGCTTAGGAGTTACTCCTATTTTTTAAGCCCACAAGATCGAAAATGGAGAAAATAAAGCGAGGGAAGCAAGTACAAATAAGACATGTTCATTCGAAATGAACTAGCTACTCTTGTAAACGACGACTCTAATACGTCATACGTGTAATATAAGGGCCTTGCAAGAGTGAACTTGCTAAGTTGTAAACGCCTCTGATAATATTTATAATAAGACGGCCTTTGCTATGTGCAAATGCAAGCAGCTTTTTATCCAAGTGAACTTGTGCGTTGCTCTTGTATAAACGTCTCTATTTCTAATAAGGGCCTAGCTGTGCGAGCTGATTTTTTTATATTTTTTTATGTATCGACCAGCCTTGCTCAGTCGTTCGTTTCCGCAGACCTTGCCACT